CTTCTTGCTTTTTACTTTTTTATTCTTATGTTTCACCTTCGCACTACTCTCAACCTCTTCTTTACTAATCACTGTATCTGAAATTACGCTTTTTATACAAGCCGGCATATTTTCTTCAATATTATCCGATATAAAGCTTTGCTTTTCAATGACATCTATTGGTATTTGCCTACTTATATTTGCGCAAATATTTTCATTGCATTTCTGGAATAAATTATTTTCATATAATTCACGTTTTACTTTTAACAGTGGTGTTTGCAAAATTTTAACTATCTTTGACGTAGTTGGGTCAGTACGCGGTATTGACCGCCAACCGTTTGAAGTCTTTTTTATACGTATACGGTTTCTTTTGTCGTAATCCTCACATCGCACTTCAACGATACGTGTGTCATCTTGTTTCACCCATAAAAATATGGGATTGACACGCGCTACAGGATCATCATTTTTGATTTCTTTAGTGGATTCTGTTACTTTTTCCGTCACTACTAAAGGTTTACTTTCTTTTCGGCTATTCACCTTTGGTGTATTCTTTTTTTCTTTTGTTGCTACTGTTTTTGTTGCTGTTGTGGGCGCAGTTATGGTCGTACATTCATCGCTAAGATAACATTTTGGTTCATTCTTAATGTCACGCAATAGCCCTTTAGACGGACGACTTGGATCCTCAACCATCAAATGGCCGAATTTTGGTTTTTGCGCTGTTTTCTTTTTGTTAGCACCTCCACGCACCCGCCGGCAAGGTTGCTCTTCGAAAACCAAAAATATATCTCGCGCCACTCTTCTCCTTTCCGATTTTCTGTGAAAAACATGTTGTTCACCTGGACTTTCCACCTCTGTCTTAATGGCATTCTTTCGTACCTTCGTCGCTACATTGACATTGGAACCATTGGAGTCCTTTGCGTGTGCGTTGTTTACCCTCGGCATTTTTTAGGGCACCAGCTAATTCGCTAACACCAACTTAAGGCGATTCTCATCTTTTGATTAACAAGAGTTTCCATAAATTCCAATAGTAGGTGATGTGTACCAATTTTAATTGCTGTATTCGCGTTACCTTTATCGGTATTCCACTGTTTCCACCACTTTCAACTTCGGCAATATGGATTTTCATTTGTTCCTCTAATTTGTTTCGTAAGCAATCAACATTTTGTGTAAATACATAGTTCATTAAATTATAAGCAGTTAGTTTAATTACATTTACAGATTATCAAATTTTTACATTTTTGCTTGTTTTTACACTTTCGTTTTAAAATCGATGGAAAATTTTGTATATATCATAGTCACACCTGCAGGGTTAACATTTTCTGGCAATGTTAGTGAAAAATGTAGTAGAAAAAGTACTTTTATGTAACAATGTTGTCAGACTCTAGCAATTTCCCGTGAGAAAAAGTTAAATAAAATAGATTCCAATTAGAATAAAATACACAAACAGTATTTTCAGCATAGAAAATTCGTTGTTTTCAATACCAATTTGTGAATCTTCCAACCACAACCAAAAATAGCGAATATTCAAAAGTCGTTAGAATATTTAAAAGCTAATACACTTAATTAAGCATGAATATCTTATTTTTTATATATGTTCATATGTACTTTTATGTTAATCCGTTTAAAAATACTGGATATTTTAAAGCTGACAACTTGTTGCAAATTTACAGTAATTTGTAGCGGCCGATAATATTTTGAAGAATGGTGCTAAGTCAATAGACGTGACACCCTGATTTTTATCCCTCCAAAGACCGTCAAATCTTTTGACCATGATTCTTGGTTTAGATTTATTATACGATTTTTGACAAAGTTAAAGAAATGATTACGATAGTAAAAATAATAAAAGAATAAGAAATTACTTAAAAAAATGCGATGGTAAGTTTCGTGAAGATACCTCGTTAAATACAAATTTTCCAAATAACACATGATTTTGATCGTTCAGTTTGTATTAGAGCTATATGCTGTAGTAGTCCGATATCGGTTTCGACTAATGATGAGTTCCTTAAAAAATGACGTGTGCAAAATTCTAAGGGACTTATTCGCGTATATATAGACAGACGGACATGGCTAAATCGAGTCAGTTCGTCGTGCTGATAATTTATATACCTTATAGAGTCCGGCGTTTCTTTCTTAATGTTACAAACTTCTCGTAAAACTTAATTTATTTAATAATCTAGTGCATAGAAGTAGGGTTAGTTTAAGAATAGGATTTTCCCGATTTCGGGGTTTAAAATAAGTATGTACGGATAGAAGAACACCTCCAGATCAAGAAAATATATATGCACATACGTATATACTTGTATAGTTGCCTCTGACTTATGATTTGATATTTGCATTTAAACTTTAAAAATTCAACTATTTAAAATGCGTGTTTTTCCAATTTACAACGATTTTTATGGTTATATTTTTAACATTGATATCCACTAACACTTCACTAAATTGTTTCTACTCATTTATTTTATGATAAATAGTGCAAAACTAACTTTTATTCAAGATTTAGTATTTGTTCAATTGATTTTGTTCACACAATAACAAAAGCTTTGCATTCTAACTAATAATATTGGTAAACCAAAATACCCATGTTTTTTGTGACATGAACAGAACAAAGTTTTGTTTATTATGTAAAAATTGCCACAAACACAGAAAAAAGCTACAGATTTCTTCTATCATCTATATATTTTTTGCTATGGAGATGTTTGTTTAACACAACAAAACAGCGATAGATATTTATTTTATTAACCAAAGAGGATCTAAAAGTGTTACTATCGGTTTCGTTTCCCATTTTCGTCACTTACTCTCCCTAAATTTTCGGGGAAAAAATCCAGATAGGAGTCCAGCAAGCAATTTTTTTATAGGCAGTAAGTAGTTCAGTCACAACATCTTTGTAATTGTCAACTTTCACATTTCCAATGTATTTCAGTTTCAATGAGCATTTCCTCAAATGTTTTATCTTTCATTAGTTCTCTTAAGTATTTGCGGACCCACAAATATGCCCTCCTTAATTTTTGCTTCACTGACTCTTAGAAATCATCTATCTTGTTTCAAATACAAGATCCCGCTTCCATTTCTGTCCATTGCCTTAACAAACTTCTTCATTAAACTAAATTTAATATGTAAAGGTGGTAGTAAGGTTAACTGTTAACTGTCCCGGAGTGAGTGCCTAATGTACTGACCACTGCTTGTGTACATAATGACAGTCTCTCGCACGGCTGTCCTCTTCACAAAGAAAGCTACAATATTTCGTATGCCCTAGTTGCATTCCAAGAAAAAGGGCTATTACTTTGAGGTCTCAACATACTGATCAACCATACTCTTGATAACGGATATGCTCTAAAAGAACTCTCATATTCTCAAATGATTCCTTCGTATGAACCGCATGAGCTAAGCGCACAGGTGGATATTTGTTACCGTTAAGAACCAATACCGCCTTTAAAATAAGATTAAAGGAATCAATGAATAGACGTCAATCACGTTTCATGTTGACAGGTCTTAAAGCTGATAGTAAATTACAGTACTTAACCGTATGTTTAGACTTCGGTCCTATACCGTTAATATTCGTGAGGCAAAAATAGCAGTCTGTAACATGGTCTTTAGGTTCTCTCCAAAACATTGGCACTGCAAAGGCCATTTTACGATTTGAACTTTTTAACCAAGCTGTTAACATTATTACACAAGTTTTACAACAGATATGAGGAGCTTATTTGCTTTGATTTGATACCCAACTTTAACACCAAAATACAGTTCGTAAGCTTTTAGCACATGAGGAGTAAAATTACGTTTTCTAGATTTGAGAGTTAGTTCTCCGCACACATTACAAAAACTGTTGGTACTATTTACGCACTGCCTAGGCATTTTACCTAAAAATCTTAAACACAGTAATTTTAAAAACGTAAAAGAATGGGAACTCAAAACATTTGCTATCCAAACATAGAAGACGTTCCCGATTCGGACACCGTTACTCTGCTGATAAATTTTTTAAAATAAAATGATCATAAAATACACCGTTTACTGAAATTTTATGTCTTGTAAAATGCAAAGTCGCAGGTTATAGTATATACATATGTGGGTGATAGAAAAATTCTCTTTTCAGATTTGACTTCAGGGTATAAAACTAAATTAGAAACACCTAAGAATTTTCATGTCACAAATTATGTGTCTACCATTGTAATCAGTGTTACCTTACCCACATATTTACGAAAGAACCAAAAAATAAATAAAACAAATAATACCGCAATGACAGGAAATAACAACACATTATTAGTTTTTTGCGTAGTATTTCTTTCTGCATTGCGGGACTTCGACCGAGCTTCAAAAAAATAACCAACACCGGCCGTTTTCAGTTCTTTTGTGTTAAACTCCTTTCTGCGGTGGCGGTCTTCGGCCGCGCTTCAAAAAAATTACCCTAGCCAGGAAATTCTGAAAGATTTTACATTACTCATAATGAATTTTGTATCGACGGTATAATCCTTCTTCATTTTATTCATTACGAAATATGGTAATACTATTTTTTTTCTTGTTGCAACCATTTTCTTATTGTATGAATAAATGGATTTCAATGAAAATGAAATATGGAATAAAAGGTATTTTTGCACTAATTATTACGACGAACCGAATGAAGTGTTGGTGGATATAAAAGTAAAAAATATTAGTGTAAAATGCATTATAAATAGGAGAAATACATTAAATACACATTTTAAATAGTTTGACTTTAAATGCAAATATCTCAAAAACTATAAGTCAGTGGAAACTACATATATACATACATATATGTATATATATATATTTCTTTTTTTATCTAGAGGTGCTCCTTTATTCGTACATACACATTTTATGCTATTCTAAATCCCAGCCTAGAAGTACTTTAATTCAACCGTTTAATTGTGAACCGGGCCTTATATTCACAGTGTAGTTTTTGTGAAACAAATAAATCCGGAACCCAAAAAATAAAATTTTAAATATAAGTTATTAAAATATTTTTATTTAAAATTAGTTATATAAATTACAACAAGGTAAGGGTTTCGGTTCTTGATTTAAACAAAAATTAATTACAAAAAATACATTTTGGCCTTAGATTATCAACAAAAACTCTAATTCTGTGTTTAATAATTTTCAATTAAGTATTTCATTTACTTAAAATAAGAATAGTATAGTAAAAAAAAATCTAAACTAATAACTATCCTGCTTTTTGCATGTATTCATATACATACATTTAAGTATGTATTTTCCTATGCACTATGTTTATTTAAGCGCACAAATTCGATATTCATTTATTTATTCATCGCCTCGAGCTCCACATCCTCAACATTATGTGAACCTCTATCGTACCACCACCTCAAAATAACTGTGCGCCTACGTCGTACCACAACAAATATCAGCATTATGAATACACCTTGTAACCCATTAATCATTTCCATGACCATAAGGTAAGCGTCTGGGCCGGGTGAATAGAATGTGACAATTTCCAGTAGCCATGATACAATTAATATTACACCAAGAAAGCTTATACATTTGGCGCTTGTAATAAAAAATAATTATTTCACAGTTAATACTCGATTTTATCAAACTTACTCTTTCTTCACTTCCTCATATTTCATTTCATCAATTTCGACAATTATATTTGCATGAACAGTGCCATTTGTACTATCCTTTGCGGCAGTCTCTACTTTCTGTTTCTTAATTTTTTGAAAGCCGAAGAACGAAATCATCATTACTATAAATGATAAAAAGAGGAACGACGATACTGGTGGTATAAAATATCGTTGTGACTCGCGAATGGCTGTAAGACAGAAATATATGAATTTTTTATTATTAATATTCACTATTATGAAAATTCAATGAATTCAATGCACTTGAATTTTTTTAATTAATTTTGTTTTAATTTAATTGAAACTAATTCAGTTTTATATTCTGTAAACCATTTAAAATTAAATTAATTTTAATTATTTTTTTCTCGATCAAACTTAAATAAATATCATACAATTTAGTATTTCTGTTGATTATACAATCATTTTAAGTTTTTTCATTAGATCGCGTTCAGTTTACTTTAATTCAATTTTATTATATTAATTTTATTTAATATAAATTGCTAAATTTAATATCAACATTAAACCAACTTACTTTAATTAACTCCACTTAATTTCAAATAAATTTTGCGCAATTTCAATTAAATTTAATGTAATGAAATCATTACGTGTT